GTTCGCTCGTTCGCTCGCGCACTCCTTCTCATGAATATATTCACAAGCCGGCCTCGAAAGGACGAGACAAAGATGTTAACCGGTGATCGAGGAAACTCTTTCCCCCTTTTAAGGTCCACTCGTTAGCGCAAGAACGCGGCTACCTTGGATATCTCAAACCATAGAAAGTCTTCCTCGATTCTTGATTGTAGTATAACTGCTTCGTACGATTGTCCTCCACAAAATTTTCACTTCAGTTTTATATATTTTGTATGAGGTGAAAAATAAATAAATAAACAATAAAATACGAGTAATATTTTAAATCCAGAATCTCAATAATCTTGCTAGGTTAAAGATAAACAACCGATAGGTACTATTGCGAGAACGTTTCACCTTTCTCGCAAAATGGAAAACTTGCTCGGCATCGTGCTCTCTTCTTCTATAAACGAATATATATTTTTATTTACTATGTCTCGTGCATCCCTGAAATCTTTCACGAGACGGAACACGAAATGTCACTTATCCTGATGCGTCACGAGGTCATACAATGAAAGACGAAGATGGAAAAAGGAAGGATAGAAGAAAAAGAAAGAGTAAAAGAAAAGAGAGAGAGAGAAAGAGAAGTAAAAGCTTTGTAGCAAGCATCTCAAAAAAGGATGAACTTTTTACCGAATTACGGTATAGACAAGAATTTGTGATTACTTTTTAAAATACTTCCAAAATTCATAATCGAAAAAGCATTTTCCATGCTGACGAGCAATTTCTGTTCATCAATGAAAATGGTTAAAAAGATTGTTAATAATAGAACAGTATTCCTTTCTATTCACCATTATGAAAGATCAATAGAAAGCTATCGTGTAACGAGCGTGTTTTTAACAAGACCCTAGTCAAAGAACAATTGTTTAAATAAAGCGAAAGGGGTTAACACGTTAAGCATGGTAATGCGACGAAGTGAATGTTAACAAGGGTACCTTTCTTTCGGTGTCACCGATTCATTTTCATCCTTCGTTCGCGTGTCCTACGTCGTGTCGCCGGGGATCCTTGCGAGGTCAGCCAATCGTGTTCTTTTATATTAAGGCAGGATGAATAATAATCGACGGGAAATACGAGATCGCCGGCGGGCAGACCGTCCCTTCATCATCGTAGCCCATATGCCATATTTTCAACGGGAAATATGTGATCGTGAGTAGTATTTTTCTAAACTAGCTAAAGGAATCGTTAAGAAAACTAAATCGAACGAACAGTTTCATTATTAATCTATTGTATTTCAATATATATATATATATATAAATTTGATTTGATTTTATTTTCTTAAATAAAATAAAAAACCCTATGTAAATTACTTTATGTAAAATGATTTGTCAGGAATTTAAATCGTAATATAAACTGTAACGAGTCGTATTAAAACAAGTTGTATGTTAGAGAGGTATTAAATTCTGTAAATGTATGTTTCACGAAGTGCTAATCAAAAATATAATCTTTGAAAAAAAGAAAACTATGTCTACGCGAAACGAATTCCGAACCAGCAAGTTTAAAACGTTTCTGGTAACTTTTTCGAAAGTACCTCTCCTCTCTCTCCCTCTCTCTCTAAGTCTCTATATATGTATATATATTATATATATATGTTATTATACACTACATTTTCTCGATTTTCGCAAAAATTCCTAATGCGAAGCTTTTTGCTCTGTGCACGAACACTCGCGTCAACAAAAGTTAACTCTCGTCGTGCTTGTCGCTGGAACGACGGAAGGATACAGACGTGGTCGAGACAAAAGTTATGTCAACGTGCTTTTTCCGTACCGCTTGTCAGTGATAAATTTAATCATGGACGATGCACCCACGTCAAACACACTTTTTCATCGCTACGTTATCGTTCACTTTCGAAAATATATTCTCCTTCTTTTTATCCTTAGAAAACAACAAGTCGCGGGAAAAGAATGTTCTGATCGGTACGATATATCGGAAAATTGCGATTTAAAAATAATTTATGTGGGTCCCTGTTCTAATAAAGATCTTCTTTGCTTCGTTAAAGAAATATAAAATGAAAAAAAACGACAGTGAGAAAGAAAGGACTTTAGAAAAAGTATTACAGTATGGCGACGTTAATGAAAGAAAATTTTTCTTCCTTTTTTTCGTTTACTTTTTCACGCACACAACTTTTTTTACATACACATACATATATCCTATATATATAAAGAGAGAGAAAGAGAGAGAGAGGGAATCTATCGGCACAAAAATCCACACAATGGCTACCAAAGTGGTTTGGAGAAGTGGCGCAAAGAAGAAGAAGAAGAAGAAGAAGAAAAAGAAAAAGAAAAAGAAGAAGAAGAAGAATAAGGCAAACTTATTGTTAATCGGCCGCGAAAGTATCGCGCGTCAGCTGCATTCTTCGCGCGAATCAAGCGAATAAATCGATCGAACGACGAAAGATCGAGACGGAATACGTACATAGGCTATGATAGAGAGAGAGAGAGAGAGAGAGATGAAAAGGAAAAGGAGAACACGGGAGGATAAGGGAAAAAGGAGAAGAGCCGGAAAGTTTATCGTACTATCGTACGTTCGTTCGTTCGCTCGCTGCTCTTTGGTACCGATTCATTCGCGTGTAATTTCACGGCTAAATCGCGGAAGTTATGGCAACGAGGTATGCGATGCAAGCCATAAATGAAGGTCGACCGAGCGTGAACGCGTATAAAGAGAAAGAAAGAGAAAGGGAGACAGAGAATGTAAGTAACGTCAACGAAGACGAAGGAAAGGAAGGAACGACGAGAATCGGATCCGTCCACCATCACCGGTCTGTCCAGCTAACTTTTGCTGTTCTCTTATTTCACTTTCTTTTCTTTTCTTTTCTTTTCTTCGCTCGACTTGGACCATGGCTCTGCTTAAAAAACAAACAGTTAAAACTAGGTGGTCCCTCATTAAGTTAGCACCACTCTTCTGTGCCCTGATCTGTGTGCCTGCCTGTTACCCCCTAGGGGGCTACCCCAAAAAGGTCCGTTTCTTTCTTTCTTTCTTTCCTCTTTTCTCATTTCTTTCTTTCTTTCTTTCTTATTCTTTCTCCTTTTCCTTTCACCCTCGCTATGCGAATTCGTTACGGTCCAGATTCGAATGAGACGTTACCTACGCAAAATGAATTCGTTCGATACACACGCGTCAACTTGTGCGACCATCACGAAATCCGTCCTTTATGTTAGTGAAAATTTATGATGCCTAATAGTTGATAGCTAGATGTATACAGTATTGTATGCTATGATTTATTTACGGGTTTCATCTAAAAAAAAAAAAAAAAGAAAAAACGTAAAAATAGTTGACCTAGAAATTTGTTTCGAGAAGAATCACTTTGGCCCTAAAAAAAAAAAAGATGATTTACTTAGACATTTCTTTCGAATGGTACTAGTTTAAATTAAAAAAAGAATAATAAACGAGCATGAAATTTTTTGTCGAACTTAAAAATTTCTAAATTCCATTCTTTCGTTTGTCTATAATGTTAATACGTGTATCGTCGTATCATTCAACTAACATTTTATACATATGGTCCTATGAAGACAACCTTTAACCATGGCAATAATATCAGTCGAAACCATTTAATACGATCGCTTTGCCTAGGATTTGCTCGCGCATATTGAATAGGACGATATTCTAATTGTACCCCGGTAGAGGCATTTGCGAACGCGTGAACGTTCTTCGTCGATCGGTGTTGCAGTTACCTTCGATAAAATTTTCTCTCTTTCCCTCTTTCAGCTACACACACACACACATACACTCTCTTTGTCTCGTCCCTGGTGTAAAGGTCGCTTTGCCAGGATCTCTAAATACGAGTTGTAGATATAACGCGTTACCACGTATATGCATACGTATATACGTACGTGCGTACTCCGTTAACCTGGTATCGCCGTAAGGAAAACGGCCGATAATGGGATTATATGGAGAGAATGGATTAGTGAAATCCCTCGAATGCAAAACCTTACGATAATCGGCTACAACCTAGCCATATACACCGTTGAAAATCGGTAGTACCGACTCGTGATATCGCACAAGAATATCTCCAGAGCAATCGAGTCGAGGTAAATGTCGATGCACATTTCGTTGCTCCTCTTTTCGTTATGAAAACTAACGACACGAGTTGCATTATGCTCCTTCTCGTGGTATTCACCTTCTCGAATTAAATGAGCTTAAAATCGTAATAGAGATCCATTCAATTTGTCGTTGTTCTTGTTCCTCGATAATTTCATTGTATTTTTTGTTTAATTGATAAATACATACAAATAATACGTGAACAATACAGGAAACTTTTAGAATCGTATATGGGGTCATTATTTAATAGATTCAACTCAGCGTGACTTACCGATGAGTCAGTAGTTATATTTCTGAGAGGCCACTTCATTCACCTATGTGTCATATCTACTACTTTGATGTTTTTTTTCTAAATTTAGAAAAAATTGATAAGTATTATAATACGTAATCATTTTAAATTTATATTCGTGTTATTGTTCATTATATTCACGTTTGGTCTACTGCGCTTATAATTGAATTTCATTGTACTCATTGATTATAATAAATAGATAAATATCTATTCTATATATACATAGATCGAGCTGATAGTAGCTTCATAATATAATAATGATAATAATGATAACAATGATAATAACGATAACAATGATATTAATAAGTATATTCGTCGCAATGCGTATTGTATTAAATTTGTGTGTTGAGAAAACATGTTTTCCACTTTAATTATCGTGAAATACCGAAATTAAAACACTTATATAAGAGATCGAGAGAGCCCACTTGGCAGCATAGAAGCATCCTACGAAGTACTTACGTTTTGGCCTCGAGCCGTTATTGGTCTCTTCGCGTACACGTTCTCGAACGAGTTTTAAAGATTCGATCTCTCCTCGTCGAACGTCGGCCGTAACGCGAGTCGAACGACGAACGAACGCGACACGAACACATATAAATGTTTAAACTGAATCGTTTCTCGTGTCACGTTTTTAACATCTCACTCTTCTACTTTTCTGTTGCAGATAATCGCTAACGGCGTGGAAAAATTACGTGAGTATATTCAAAAGTATGCATATATTGTTCTTATAAAATTAAAGAGAGAGATAAATTGATAACCTTGTTAACCATCTTTCTTTTTCCTCACCCTAGCATTTTGTTTTCCACCCGCTTATTTAACTTCCTTCATTTTTTACTTTAACAACGGAAGCTTCCGTGAGGTATTTTGCGAACAATTCTGCTCATATAAATTTATATATACGCGCAATTCCGACAAGAAACAAAGAAAATTCTTTCCCACGCGTCTACTTATATACATATATGTATGGATAAATAGGTACCACTCGGTGTAACTGGCACGTATATGCAATATATAGTCTTATTCATTCTTACCTAATTTTATTAAGACGATGGAAAACGAAAGAACGACTCACCAGTAAAACTAGCGATTCGACAAACCACCTGTAAAATTTCTCTCTAATGTATTACGGAACATAATGCATTACATCAAAGATTACGATTTCATTTCGAATCGTGGTATGGTATGTACAAGTCGCAATCCCGTTTGTTTCGAATAATCTACTGTGCATAATTGTCCGTTTACGAGAGTCGCCAATCTTTCGTACAATCGACAAGCGTGTAAATCGAGAAACGATAAATGAAAATTCATCGAAGGAGCGTTCTCACGATACACGTGATCGGCGTATATCGATTTCGCTTATAAAACACGCATAGTCACGTACATACTCAGATTCAACGATATCTAGGCGATGTGGAACAACGAATCGAGAGTCGCGATCAACAGCGAAACGGTTACATTTCTTGCTTGTCTTAAAATTTTTTATTAACAATATCGAAATAAAAGCACAAGAAATCGTAGCGTTTCTAATAGATCGTCTATCTTTATCACACTTTGATAAGTGTTCGAAAAGATCAATATCTTTTTTATCCAAAAATCATTCCTTATTAACATGTTCCGTGGCATGTGTACCATTTGTGATAGATAAAGTGCAAGAAAAACATCTGTTGAAATCACGATTGACAAATAAAAATTATACTTCATGATTTCAACATTAATTCTACGAATAAATAAATTGTAAATTCTTAAGAAAAACTAAAGAATATTTCATTTAAATATATTCTTCCAACTCTATTATATATTGCCTACCGTTTGTGGTACACGTGGTGTGCTGCTGTATTATGTTGAAAAGTGACTTGTGGCACAAAACGTGTTAAATGAACAAATATCAGATGCAGCGGTATATTCTTCCATGAAAAGGAACTACAAATAGGCAGAAAGATGGATGATGAACGGTAGGTATAGCAAAAGGAAAAGAATAGAAAAGCATCAAAGGGTATTGGTCTATTACCCTGCTTGGCCCTTCCAAGTTGTCGTTTTCTCATCGCTTGGATGAACCGTGAAATAGTCAATGGTAAACGGGAATTTAGGAAGGTTAAGAAAAATACAGACACAAACCTACAATAGGACAACCTACCCCTTCCCTGCCATCAACTTTTCCTTCTCATTCTTTTCGGCAAAGAAGACTCGCTAGTTCATTTCTCGTTTGTTGTCTCTACTTCCTCCTAAAATCGGCATTGGTATATACCGCCAAAGGCGATATTAACTGACTTTTGTGATCGTAAAAATACGAGAGCTACCTGGATCTTCTCGTTAGTCCCAAAATAAGGAGTCAATTATTAAACAGGGAGAAACGATTCTCACGATCTAGAAAGACCACTTTTTACACATTAATTACAACGAAATAGTATGCAATCTCTTTGCGATATGATACGATGCAATGGCAAACGGGGTTGCATTCTAATTTTCGATGCAGTAATTGCATCCCATTTGGAATTCTTTTTCTCTCTCTCTCTCTCTCTCTCTATCTCTTTCTTTCCTCATCGCGTGGTCGAACATGGTTGGAAACGTGTCTTTCGGGTAGGTACGTAACGCGTCTGCCAAAAGGGCTGCACGAAAGCGGCGATCACGCGATCGAGAGGTGAAAATGAAAGATTTCGAAAGAGTCCAATGAAAGAAACAAGCGGCGTGCATAATTGTACTAAGAACGATAAAAAGAGAGAGAGAGAGAGAGAGAGAGAGAGAGAGAGAAAGAAAAATTGGAAATGAAAATGGTGGTATATGTAGGTATATAAATACGAGTCCCCTTTTAACTGGTTCGTTGAAGCGAGACAAATGGCATCGTTTTTTTCGTTTCCCTTTTTTTTCTGCATGTACTTAATAGATTTCTACAATACTACCATTTCTTTCGAAAAGAATCGAAATAATGAAATAAGCAAAAAGTTGGTAGCAACCAGATTACAAGAATGATCCTTTGGAGAACAAATTTTCTTTTCGATATTTATGGAGTTTTAGGATTAGCAAAGCAAGGGCGAAACTCTAAAGTCCTTCCTTCTTAACCCTCGTCTCAACTCACCACGAAGGCCGTCGGTCTCGCGGCTCTTTTGTAAAAGCGTTCTCGGAGATCGTACATCGTAGAAGTACGATCGCGATCTTGGTTGTTTATGCGATACCCCCAAGATAGGGGTGGCTCCTTTGTCCCGAGGTGGTTTTCGCCTTTACCGGTAAATACAGACGAATAAATTTCCACGGTGCGATAAATCTTGTCGCGCGCGTACGCCTTTCACCTAAGACCGCTTTATTACTCTTCGATTCAACTTTGGTGTACGGATCAACACGAGAAAGAGAGAGATAAATAAAAAGGAAAATATCTGAGCATTCTTCGGTATAAATCGGAAAAAAGCAATTTTTTCTAAGTAACAATCGTAGCCATTGAAAAAAATTAAAAAAAAAAAAAAACGAAAAGAAAAAATTTTCTAACTTTTAAACAAAAAGAAAGAAAGAGGAAAGCAATATGTGGTATAGATCGAGTTCATAATGGTAGAACATTTAACTTGACCGGTACAGCTTTGGTCTTACCGAGTCAGGAAGGACTAGTCAGGGTTAGTCCTGGGATCGACGAAGCGTCGTCGGCTTATCCGTCGCGCACGGGTTATTTAGCGTTCAGGCGTCGGCTAGAACGGACGAGGCTCGTTCGTGCTCAGCAATCGAGTCTGGCGATAGACCGAAAACGGATTACCGAGAGAGATAAATCGGGTGATACGCTCCTCGATGTAACGTTTCCGCTCCATTCGTAGGTAGAAACGAGCGATACCCGTTTGGGCGTTAGATGTGAAGCCAAGAGATAGGAAGAAGAAACGAGATGAATAAAGAAAGAGAAAGAGAGAGAGAGAGAGAGAGAGAGAGAGAGAGAGAGAGAGAGAAATAAAACATATTCTGTTTATTTACAAACTGTTACTTCAAATAAGAATTAATGAATATAAAAATATGATAAATAAATAAATGTACTTAAATAATAAAAACATCATTTAATGAACTCTTTTAAAGAATTAGGCTAAGCATAATAAATTTATTTCGACAACAACAATAATTAATTGAGAATTAAAAAGGTGATAGGTATGTTAACGTTTCGTCTTGAAAACGTTCTTAGGTGTGAAAAGAGGAGTGGAGAGGAGAGGAGAGGAGAGAAGAAGAAGAAGAAGAAGAAGAGGAAGAGGAAGTGGAAAAGGAAGAAGAGGGAGGAATTTCTTAAATTACTTCCTTATCTCCACCGTCAGTAGCACCTCGAAAAGACGATCTCTTCTCTTCGTAAATTAAGACAAAATTGATTTAAGCGATTTACTGTAGCCGCGCGCGCGCACTTCGGACATCGTTGTCGTCGTCGTAGCTGTTCTGTTCTCGCCCAACAGTGGAAAAGAAGATAATGGTTAAATCCAGAGTCTACAGGGTTGAAATCTCCGAAAGTGGAAAATATCGAACGTTTTTCACCAAGTGATTTTTCTCTCCGACTTTCCACACCGAATCAATCGTGGTTGGATGTGTAGTGCGAGGACGCTACCGATTAATTCGTGAAAGTGTTCTTCTCGTTGTTGTCTGATCGAACCATTAGAACAACCTCTTGGACTTTGCTATCTAACGGTTTGTCTTTTGCAAAGCAAGTAAACAAAAAGAAAAAACGTGCGACAGGATAGACAAACAGAGAAATAGAGTGGTTACAAAAAAAATAAGATTAAAAATGAAATAAAAGTGAAATATATACAACATACAATAAAACTAACTCTACAAATGAAGAGAAAAAGAGAGAGAGAGAGAGTGAGAGAGAGAAAGGGAGAAGAGAGAAATATATCCAGACAGCAAGAGAAAGAGAGAGAGAGAGAGAGAGAGAAACAGGTAGAGATAGAGAGTCTGGAGAGCGTAGTAGTTGCACGGAGGGTTAAGCGTGTTCCGTTGGGTTTTACGAGTAGTGGTGGGGAGCGAGTGAGAGCCAATGTATACATATACGAGAGCAAGAGCGAGAACGAACGAGAGTAGTGGGGGTAAGGGCTTGACGGTGGGGCGTCAGGACAGGTCAGTGGTGGGGGCTGACGCTCTCTCGTTCCCTTTCGCCGCTTAGTTACTCCGCCGACGTCGTTGGGAGCGGATCGGCCGTTTCCAGTGTTCTCTTTCGGATTTTTTACTACGATTTCTTCGCGCGTCGTCTTCCTTAGCGTGTCCTCCAACAGGAGGAGAAGGAGGAGAGGAACAAAAGTGATCCTTCGAGTGCGTGCGTGCGTGACGAAATACATCGAAAGTTCGTTAAAGAGGATATTGAGAATTAAAACCTGTACTTGCTGAATTCGTTTGTAAAGTGCGTTCGAGTGCACCATGGAAACTCGCGATAATCTGTATAAGCGCGCTCCGTAATACAATCGATAGGTGCTTGATTGAATAGGTTAAGGAGAGGTGGAAATTAAAAGAAAGATTATATTAATTAAATCATAGTGATTCATAAATCGTTCGAAAGTGTTACTCAAACGAATGAAGAATACCTCGCGAATTTCACTAGATAATATTTGGTGTTTTTACGTAGAGTACGTTATTTATTTCTAACGGTGGTTTACAAATAAAGGGATAGAAAAAGATAGTGCGAGGAACTAACGTGAATAACGCTCAAAGGGATTAAGTTTAAAGGATTCAATTCTACGTGATATATATC